TTGACGGGTGTTACTTTATTTCACAATAGACAGTTTCGCTTCCTTCGCCTTTCCTACGCAGACTAACTCGCAGTTGCGCCGCTAGCCTTTTTATATGCAATTATTACTGCCATCTCGAGGTGATCGGAATACACTAGCTAGAACCAGAACTTTCTCGAACCAACGCGGTAATTCCAAATATTTAATTACGCCTAATGCCACCTAGCGGGTAGCTGAGAAAGATAGTACATAGTACCACTACTCGCCATTAGATGTAGTTAAGTGTCAATACACAATAATTGAAATGCAAAAAAAGCGTAAGTTTGCTTAGGTCACGCACTTTGCGGCTATCCTAGTCTAGAAATATAGTTAAGGGCAGAAATTGGCCCTTGGAACAAACTGAAAAAATCATTATGGCCCGAAGGCTTCAAAGTTTGGAGACCCCTGGTCAAGGGGAACGTAACAAACATATGGACCAGAAAGTTCAGTCACGCCTATTTGTGTTGTGGACAGTGGTGTGAGATAATCGAAGTATATTTGGAAGTACTGGGTTACTGGGTATTTTTCCCAGATCTCAGATTCTAGACCCTGATTACTTTTTATCACTAAGACAGCTAAGATTGATAACTATTCGTTGTTTTCAATTTCATATGTAAAATAATGTTTATTGGCAATTTCAAAATACATAATACAATAGATATTACGTATCATAAGACAATAAACAAGGGCAGGATGATTTCCACTAAAACCGATGTGGTTGTGCGTGGAAGGGTTTCCGGTTCTTGTATTGCCAACAGGTGTGCCACTTGCACGGGTATAAACATTAAAAACTAACTTATGATAAAGGTGATTTTTCAGTAAAAACGTATAGCTACTTTGAAACATTATAGATACGTTAAAATAATTAAAACCTTATAACTAAGTTGGAACATTCTAGATTGATTGTTTTAATTGGTATGTGAATTGGAAATGGTAGGTAAGCTTGTTATTGACTGTTTTTATTAACTTTCGATTAAGAAGTTATCTCTTAAAAGTTGAGCAATGAATTTTTTGAATATTCTTTTGATCATATTCAGCGAATAGTGCGAAATAAGATGTGTTTTGAATGTTTCGTGTAAGTCTGAGGTCTGAAGTCGAGTATACCTGTTTCTTGGAATAGTATATTGAATGAGTATTGATTTTTTATACTAGAGGATCTGTTGTTGAGAGTTGCAGCAAAGTTCTTTAATGAAAAGAATATTTCGAAATTATATACCACAGACATTTATGCAAGGAACCTCACAAAGGTTGGTCTTTTAGATGTTTTTCGTTCATCCAGCAGCAGGACGATGCTGGTTATCAATAGAGTAGATCGCTTACTTTCGAGGTATTACCGGAAAATAACTTCAGGAACAAATATAATTATTTTTCTGAAAAAAAAATTAACTGACATATATTACATATTGTGTTACGTTCGATCATTTTGAATAAATCAGTTACAGTGGAAATGTAGCTTAGCCTATACAGTCGATGAAATTAGATATCATGCGAAAAATCTCACAGCATAAAATGACTTGTTTTAAAAATCAGTAGGTATATCATGAACCAAAATATTTTCATAATCACTCGGGCTTATATTGTCCAACAATCCTTTTGCATTGTCTGTAGCGTTCTCCATATGGTTCTGGCATTACAGATCCTTTACATCCATATCCTCCTATCTTGTGGATACTGGCGAAATCGTCGCAATCGATTTTATTGTCTCCATTACAATCCTGGAAAAAAATTTAAAATGAATAATGAATAAATCACTTTCGAATACAGGTTGTATTTTTAATTTAAGGAAATCATTCCTTGTGGTATTTTATGAAGAAATATTGATAGCTATTTTCAAATCGACGACAGTAGTGTACAAATGTGAATTCGGAAACATAACTGTTACATTCTTATCAGTCAGTGGGCTATGCTTGTAGACAGGCAGAAAACTGGGCATTGCCCACTGACTAATAAGAAAGATGTTTTCCTTATTCAGGGGAATCGGGCAATTTTCGGATATGCAGTTGGTTAGTACCTCGTCCACTAGATGGAGTGACATTTTTGTTGTTCGCTCCAACTTAGGACGAGGAATGAAATACTGTGAAAGAATTTCGATTTGCAATTAAGACAGTCCATCTTGTCCCCCTGGACATTTCAAAAGCCTTCGACCGAGTATGGCACGAAGGCTTATCACATAAAATGCTCGATTTCGACCTGCCTCGGGGCCTGATCCGGTGGATTAGGTCCTTTCTGAAGGGCAGATCATTTCAGGTCCGAGTTGAAGGAACCCTGTCTCCCGTCAGGGAAATCCAAGCTGGAGTGCCTCAAGGAGCTGTTCTGTCTCCACTATTGTACAGCCTTTACGTGAGCGACCTTCCGAGGTTCGATCACGTGAAGGTTTCCCTATACGCCGATGATACGGCTCTCCTCGCTTCTTCCATGGGAACGCTTGGGGACAACCCGCTCCGACAAACCTTTCCATTCTGGAGAGATTGCAAAACAAACTTCTCAGGATGCTGGTGAATACTCCATGGTTTCGTGCGGAATGAAGCCATCCGCAGATATTTGAAGCTGTAAATCATACAGCAGTCCATTCAGTTGAGGAATCAGAGAGTTTTCGAGTCAGCGGAAACTCATGATAACCCATTAGTTAGTGAAGCTGTAGATTACATTATAGATGACCCCACTCGATTCAGAAGGCCCCGTCGCTCGGTTGAGTGAAGGCCCCACGACGTCTGTTAAAATGAACAGTTTGTTCATCAATACCCCAGTCAGAAAGGGGTACACAAGGCCAGAGCGCCATAGATGTCATTGACCTTTATGCCGTCACCAAAACACTCTAAGTTATGAACCACTCGTCCTCCTGACGAGAGACAGTCGAAAGGGTACGGGAAAAGATTTCCAACCTGATTAAAATGAAGATGACTATCGGATTTGCAATTATGGAATATCATTGACTTTAGGTCGATGATAGCCACTATCTTGAACTGATGAGTAGTTAATGAGCCCGAAACCGGTCTGCAAGTGTGCCCGTTCCAAAATTGATGGTCGACTCTTTCAGTTGTATTGCCAATTGCATATGCAGGAAATTTACTGTGAAGATTCCTGCATTGACGCCTATCGGATATAATCCAACGCGTTTCATGGTATTAGCCAGGGGAGAAGTTGTTTTCTGATAGGCGTCAATGCATTCAACCTACTGTGTAGGTATATCCGAGACGGGCTTGAACATTTAAAGTTCATTCCTTTATAAATGTTACATGACTGATCAACTTTTTGTCTTGATATTTGTAATGTTTCAAAAAGCCCTTCCATTTGTACGTAAAAAAGAGCTAGTTGTTTTTCGTTGTTGTCGCAGTAAAACATTTGAAACATCCCATGAAAATTAGAAAACGAGTAGGAGTAATGTTAGGAGGACACAAAAACTATTATTGTCATTGACATTTATGTTAGTATTCCATTCCAAAGAAATGTACATAAAAATGGTGGATGTAATTGCTCAAAATGAGCACATTTTATCAGGAGCATCGTACAATTAGCTGGTGCAGCGAGTAACACTGCAATTATCAGTAATATCGTTTCTCAGATCGTTCTTATCTACCACCGGCGTCGTATAAACAAGGATATTATCCAAAGGATTAAATTCCGGAAAGCTTGGTGGTCATAAAAGAGATCCCGCACCACCTGTATAATGATTATCATAAAATTTTTTGTTTGTACGCACCATGTCTTGCGCAGTTTCCAAACGTTTTGGGATGTTAGAACCAGAACAAACCTTAGGTTTGTTCTGGTTCTAACCATAATTTGCAGATGAATTTGCAAAACCACTGTAGAGTAAACAATCACTTCAAGCAACATGAGGTGACGAAGATGGCTGGTATTCGGCGATGAATTAAGGTAAGCGGAGATAGCAGGAATTATTGACACAAAATCCCGCGTAATATACAATTTGGAAGTAAATGTATAGTATAGTATGTTTTTCTCTTTCTGACCACATAATACTCGCATTTTGACCTATGAATGGAGTTAGCAGGTTCACATTTTCAATGACGATATGTCATTGAATATGTAATTTAAAGACATAAATCTTCTAACGTAGGTATCTGGCTGATATTCTTCTAGAAATTATTACGATACGTTACACCAGTGAGGTTGAAGAAAAAGAAAAAATGACCAGATCAGACCACTGAATCCCGCCCATATTTTCGCCGAAAGTTGTATCAAAAACTACTCTTCAGAAAGGCATGAGGATTTTCTAGGAAAGATTATTGATTTATGTTATATTGGTCACTTTCTGTGGAAAATTTGCCTTATCATCGAATGTAACATATGGGGCGAAATTGAAACTCATACTTCCAAACAAATGGTTTAGTTTAAATCTTCCTCTTGAAGATGATCACTTGGTGATTGAAACACGTGTTGAGGTGTTAAAATAACGGTTTGATGATGGGATTAAACTCCAGTAATATACATTACTACAACAAAGGTTCCAAACAGTGTTTCATAAGTAAATGGTCATTTTGTTGAATCTACATCTGTGAAATTAGTACAGCATTCAACAACACGTGAAAATAATTGTTTTATCAAAACGGGTGATCTGTTTGGGAAACGTACCGCGCACTTCGCCTATTTTACGGTCACCATAATCGTCCTACCGAGAGGACTGAAGGTAAACGATCATAGTCAACGACGTGTGTTCACTGAATGGACTTTGGAGCAAGTGGCAAATGACCCTATTTTGCATCGAAAAATTATCTTTAAGACCCATTTCTATGAATGAGTACGTGAACAAACAAAATTTTCGAATTTGGGGACGATACCAATTATGAGATCCAAGAGAAAAAGTCAGTGTTTGGTGTGGATTTTAGACTGACGCCGTTATTGGTCCATATTTCTTCGAGAACGACGTTGGCCAGGCCATCACTGTCAACGGCTAGCACTGGTCTTTCCGCTCAACTGCGATTTAGTCAAGGTCATGCTCAGCCCCACTTCTGTATCTGTAGAGTCGGGAGGGTGAGTATAGGCCCACAGCACTTAGGCCACAGCAATTAGGCCCATCCTCCCGAAGAGTTGCCTCCTAGGTCATCGGCCTAGGAGGCAGGAAGGTGGGCAGGTGGGCCTTCCAGGAAGGTGGGCAGGTCACTAGGAAGCACCTCCCTTATATCGAAAGGTGTCAGCCAAGACTCACCGAACACACACTCTCTTATTGACGATAACTCCGGACACTCGCATAAGACATGCCTGACAGTTTAATCTTTCTGTTCATACATCCTGCATAGAGGTGTGTCCATTAGTCCCATAATATGGAGGTGTTTCCTTAATTGACAGTAGCCAGTCAGAAATCCTATTGTTAAGCATAGGTTTTTCCTGGTCATCGTCAGATATTTCTTCGGCGCCAGCTTCCCGAAGTCGCCCAGGGTGATCCTGGCAAGACTGCATCATTTGATTCCATCCCATCTCCTTAGGGATTGAGTATGGGTGTGACATTTGTCTGGTTCCGCAATTGTCGAAATCATCAGGCCGTAGGTGTCACTGGGTCCTAATATTCTTAGTCCGGTCGCTTTCTTGGCCAAAGAGTCGGCAATGCGATTACCTTTACTTCTGTCGTGCCCTTTCACCCACCTCAGGATAATGTTATTATTCACCGAGGCCTTGGCTAAATCTTGGTGGCACTCTAGTACTAGCCTTGAGGTAACACGTTGTCTGTTCAAGACTAATAGTGCTTGTCTGCTATCAGTGCAGATTGTTATGTTTTTGCCAGAGATTCCTTTCTTGGTTATTTCTTTTGTGGCGATTGACATACCAGCCAGTTCTGTTTGAACCACTCTGGTATTTTTTCCATTCCCCATTTAAGCCTTAGGCTAAGTGACCTTAGCTCAGCCCCACTTGTCTCTCTCAAAACTTCTGTGACACCGCATCTGTTCGATAGCTCTTCCACCAGCTTTCAAAGATCCATCGAGTTATTGGATGAGCTGAAAAGATCGCAGACTCACACACAGATGACGCTGCTAGTAATAAATCCATGTGATTTTCAGTTAACCACAGCCTTCAAAAGACACGTGCACAAATTTCACAGCTGTCGGACTATTAGTTTGTGGGATAGAACATTTTGAGTGAAGAAAATTTCGTTAGTGTGAAGAAAATGAATAAAAATGAATTTCGGGCCTTTTGACCAAAAAAAAAATTTGAAGCTAAGGCTTGGATTGATAAACATTATTCGAACTTTGCACCAGAAAAATCAATCAAATATCAAAAACTCTTCAAAATAATATTGGATGACCGCAAAGTGAAAATGACTTGATGGTTCTGAGCAGTGCTTGAAGCTAATCCACCATAAAAAACCCAAATTTATGCGGCGATATGTGACTATGGATGAAACATGGTTCCATCATTACACACCAGAATTAAAACGATCGTCATCTGAGTCGACTGCACTTGGTGAGATGTGCATGGTATAATATTCATCGACTATTTTGGAAAAGGAAAAACCATCAACAACGACTATTACAAAGCGTTAATGGAATATTTGAAGGAGGAAGTGGCGGAAAACCGGTCCCATTTGAAGAGAAAGCAAATCAATGAAAGCAATGGCAAAATTGCATGAACTGGAATTCGAATTGCATTCGCATTCACCGTATTCTCGAGATCTGAATTAAGTCTACCCTTCAAGCGGTAGAGTAGACTCAATCCAAAATAATCTCAATTGCTGTTATAAAATCGTTAAATCCCGGTTGAAAGAGAAGGCCCATATTTGGCGGTAATCAACGGTTCCCTCAATTTAAAATGAAACGTTAATTTACTAGTCAAGTTTTTTTGAACTAGTAAACTGCGTTAGGAAATTCTAGTTGGCTGTAGTTGGCTTTTAGTTGGTTTGACCAACCAACGAGTTTATGTCAGCGTTGGTGGTTTGGCCAATCAACGCCGACATGAAAATTTGGCAAACTATCTTGGGTGTCACACCAATAGGTGATTCCACTAATGTTTCGCTAGCGTTTACGCAGTTATTTCTATCAAGAAACCTTCTTGGTTCTTCATATTTTGTCTTAAATCAGCTGCAAGGGTAAGGGAGCTAGGCTCCAACCTGATTGAACTGAGGATGAGCTTGGTCACATTTTGTCTTCAATCTAGGACGCCTGCCCGATAATGATGATGTCCAAGAGGCTGAAACAGCTGTCTACCGGTGGCTAAGTTGAAATCAAATTAGAAATGAACAGAATAGTACTCAGCTATTCATGTTTTGAATTTTATGGAAATAATTCCAGCAGCTTGACTGCATTAACCATTCTTGATTTTTATCATTTCTAGAAACATGCGAAAGTTTTCCGATAGCATTCCAGGAGAGCTTCCCAAATTTCTGCTAACGCAGTTGTCGGTTTTGAAGATTGGTCAAACCACCAACGCTAACATAAAAACTTGGCAAGCTATCTTGTATAACCAATAAGTGATTCTTCTTAGGTTTCGCTTGAGTTTATGCAGCCAAGTACTCATCTTGGACCTTCACATTTTGTCTTCAATCGAGGACTGCCCGCCCGGTACTGATGATGTCCAACAGGCTGAAGCAGCTTACTCCCCAAGTCAAGCGCGTTCAAAGAAGTTTTACTTCAAAATATTTTTTTATGTTCACCTACGAAATTTTAGCTCAATGTTTATACTACTGCGACGTAGGAGTGTTCACCACTACTAAAATGCCAATCCTTGAGAAAAATCTCTTGGCAACTGAACCTGTGTTATTTGGATTTGGTGTGAGTATAATTCAGGTTCTTCAAACAGAAAAGTGACTGATTCCGAACTGCAGTGCCATCTTTCTGGTTCTAATCGAATAACTTTCATCATTTACATATAGAATCAATTTATCTAACTGCACGCCACTTTTTGCTTCAAATACCAAGTTTCGGATAATCTAGTGTGTTCCTTACAAAGTTTCTATCAGGGTAATGTTCTTTATAAAATAGGTATCCAACCCTTTCTTTCATAAGACCAACGAGAGTACTTATAATAAAATGTCAACCCCCCCAAAAAAGAATTAGCTTCAAAAATGTTTTGTTTACGCAGTTATATGGATGAACCATTTCCACAACTGAAAAGATTTTCAGATTGTGAGGCATAACAGGTCTTCAGTATCAGACACCAAAAAAGAGTTGAATTTGAACGTTCATCTTTCCCAGCTTTCTGTCAGAAAGTAACTACTTTCTTTGCTAATACCATGGCGGATATTGGTTGGACTTATGAAAATATCCTCACATAGGAAGTTCTTAGTTCTTGCAGATGTCTTCCGTTGTACAGCAGCAGAAACCTGGTGGAATCAATACAGAGACCACCTCCAAACCGAATTTCTGCAAAATTATCATTTGCTATTCCCAACTGAATTGATAAAGCTTCTATTGTTAATATACGGCCTTCGTCAGAGAATACAGCCTTCAACTACAGACACTCAAAGGTTGCATATTAGCGATAGAAACTGGGTGGCATAAATTGGTAATACCATACATAAATGATGCCCTAGTTCGGTCTGTCCTGCAGTGATGAGAAGTTTCTGCTGTCGTTCAACAAGAAGCATGTTAAAGGACTTCCGTTGTGAGAAAACTAGGATAAGTGTCTGCCACATCAACTTGCAACAAGTTCTAATAAAATGAACATCAAAAACATATTATATTTCATTACCTGCTGGAATCTGTTCATATATCCTTGGACTGAAAGAGCCGAACATCTGAGATCGATGGCGCAATTGGCGTAGGCGGTAGGACTCTCAGGGGATTCCCCACTCACAGTCGGTTTGCCAGAATCTGCCCAGTAAGCCCAAGTCAATCTGAAGGGTCCGCAAACATCACCTATGAAACACAAATCACGTTATTAATTTTTACTTCGCCTCCACGGAAAATCGTTTTCTTGACTCAAAATGTTGCTCAAACTATAAACGAAGCTTAGATGCCAAGATCTTTGAGTTCGATGTTGTGGCTTGCCAAATCGTTTTGTACATGAAGTTCCCAGTTTCTGGAATATCGTTCCTTACAAGTAGTCAAAGATAGTACTCTTCAACCATCAACACTGCTTTGTTGAAGCCTCCACAGTTTTTTATCCGTCAGAGATGCCTATGAATCAGCTACTTGTTCACATTCTCCACATGCACATTTATATCCTTATAGAGATCTGAAGGAAATTTCAGCTCAATGTGGCAGTAACCAATTTTGGATTGAATATTCATTTTATAAGAAGTATAGGTCCATTCATAGAAAAACCTTGAAAACGGCTAAAAAAGTATACTATAGGAACAGAATAGAAAATGCAAGTCACAGGCAAAAAGAGAGCTGGAAAATTGTCAATTACTTGAGAGGTAGAAATAACTCTACTCTCGTGAAATCAAATTTAGAATGCAACGATATCAATGAATATCATTGCTCAGTTGCAGAGACTGTTTCCAAACAGAATATTTCCTCAAATGATCCACTGATTTATTTAAACCACATCTCTGTTTCTGAATCATTCTTTTTCACGTCTACGGATACCGTAGAGATGAAACTAATTTTCAATGAAATCAAAAATAAAAATGCATCTGGGTGGGATGACTTATTTATAAAAATATTTTCACATCTCCCCGACTTAGCTATTATGGTACTAGTTGAATCAGTAAATGTTTCATTTGCAACAGGAGTTTTTCCATCATGTTTATAAAAAGCAATAGTAATTCCAATACATAAGGGGGGAGATACTGAGCCACTAGATGTCGTTAAGTGTCACAATACACAATAATTGAAATGCAAAAAAAGCGTAAGTTTGCTTAGGTCACGCACTTTGCGACTATCCTAGTGTAGAAATATAGTTAAGGGCAGAAATTGGCCCTTGGAACAAACTGAAAAAATCGTTATGGCCCGAAGGCTTCAAAGTTTGGAGACCCCTGGTCAAGAGGAACGTAACAAGCATATGGACCAGAAAGTTCAGTCACGTCTATTTGTGTTGTGGACAATGGTGTGAGATAATCGAAGTATATTTGGAAGTACTGGGATATTGGGTATTTTTTCCCAGACCTCGGATTCTAGACCCTGATTACTTTTCATCACTAAGATAGCTAAGATTGATAACTATTCGTTGTTTTCAATTTCATATGTATAATAATGTTTATTGGCAATTTCAAAATACATAATACAATAGATATTACGTAACATAAGACAATAAACAACGGCAGGATGAATTCCACTAAAACCGATTTGGTTGTACGGGGAAGGATTTCCGGGTCTTGTATTGCTAACAGGTGTGCCACTTGTACGGGTATAGACATTAAAAACTAATTTAGTTGGAACATTCTAGATTGATTGATTTAATTGGTAAGTGAATTGGAAATGGTAGGTAAGCTTGTTATTAACTGTTTTTATTAACTTTCGATTAAGAAGTTATCTCTTAAAAGTTGGACAATGAATTTTTTGAATATTCTTTTGATCATATTCAGCGAATAGTGCGAAATAAATATTTTCAATAAGCATTGTTCTTAGAGAACAGATATATGTCGAATAATGCATTCATGGTTACATCTAGTTGCTTGGAAGCAAAAGCTGCAGAGAAGTCAGGAAGGATTATTTTTAAGCCCCAACGTGGAGACACTTGTTCAACTTGGATAAAAAAGGTTTGAGTCCCAAAAATAGATGCGCAGTAGATCAATCAGCGGAGGAGAGCTTGAGCTTATTAACATCGAGGAACTCGTGTTATTACATTGTGTTATTACAGTAAATGGAGAAATTATTCTGGGAGTTATTTGTTGCTTTTGCATTCGAAAAGTAAACTGAAAAACAAAGTTCTCGGTGGACAAAACAATGAAATTGTGAACAACGTTTCAATATTTATGCAAGCGCAAGCAACGGCAGCTGGTATAAGAATTCATCTTACGAAGATAAGAAATAATAGTGGTAAAATTCCGTGCGAACTGTGAAAAAATCAGATGAAAAAATTAGAAAATGGTGAGGTGAAAACATGTTTAACCTTAAATAAAAAAAAAGTATCAAAAATTTCAATATTCTGATGGACGATGTTGATTCAGCAATTTCCATTTCAAAGAGAAACGAGTTTCTACGCTTTGGGAAATTTATAAAACTATCATCCAAGATATTGACTATCAAAGAAGCAGAGAACCATTGCGAAAAGAAATTCGTGAACTTGGATTTTGATAGAGAAAAGTGAAAAATAACAGGGAAATATTGATGGAATGACACCTATTCGAGTACATAGGATACAATTCTTGATGAAATGCGGACCTATAGAGGAGAATGTCGAACCACAGACACCAAAAAGACTGGAGTGAAAAACTGTTAGAAAAGGGCAATGGTCTGCGAGTGGTGAAAATTAAGCGGAAATCAAATTGTAATACAGGTGATTACCACAACGAGATGGATTTTGATAATTATAAGAAATGGGTGTTGGAACAGTTGATTACGAATTAAGTCTCGAAATTTTAACACTGCCATCTTTATTGATTTTTGAATTTTTTTGTATTTTTACAAAAACTATAGTAAGTTGACAAAGATAAGTTCTTTTCATAGATTTGACACACGCAAAAGAATCACGAAAGTACATTTCAATTACTGTGAAGCCGTGACACTATAATTCATCCCCTGAAGAAATAAAGTATTGTAAAAAGTTTTGCAGTTTCATAAAATCTCTAAGAAATTTTCATTTCGAATATTGTTTTTTCTATAGAGGATTTTTTCCAGATTTGATTAGTTTATCATTTACATATTTTTTCAGTCCTTAGTTAAATTCATGTCTCATTGGATTCGAGAATCACTTATCTTAAGCAGACGCAGTGAGCCAAGAATGACAACTTTCTGATTACCTGCACCAAAATCCTTCAAAACATTTTTCTAGAGGTGATTCCGAATCGAATGAGCTACCGCTCAAATTTTCAGGATCTTTATTTCTATTTTTCATGTTTTTGAACTTGTTGATTAGACTAAGTAGAGAAGGCACCATTCCATCAAGAACTTCAATAATCACAACACAACAAAGTTTTTGTTTCGGGGTTGAAATTAGATGATTTTAATGTATTTCCACGTGTTAAAACCGAAAGTGACCATAAAAATTATATATTAGCTCTTGTTTTCAAGATATAGTATCATTATATTATATATATGTATATTGAGTTTTCAACAAATGAAATATTTCATCACCAACAGTTAGTACACATGTTTGTTTACATAACACCCCTCTCATCAGCTGTTCTTAAGTAGTAAACATAACCTATGTGAGTTTGTCAATTGTACGCACGTGGTTGCNGGTATTCGGCGATGAATTAAGGTAAGCGGAGATAGCAGGAATTATTGACACAAAATCCCGCGTAATATAAAATTTGGAAGTAAATGTATAGTATAGTATGTTTTTCTCTTTCTGACCACATAATACTCGCATTTTGACCTATGAATGGAGTTAGCAGGTTCACATTTTCAATGACGATATGTCATTGAATATGTAATTTAAAGACATAAATCTTCTAACGTAGGTATCTGGCTGATATTCTTCTAGAAATTGTTACGATACGTTACACCAGTGAGGTTGAAGAAAAAGAAAAAATGACCAGATCAGACCACTGAATCCCGCCCATATTTTCGCCGAAAGTTGTATCAAAAACTACTCTTCAGAAAAGCATGAGGATTTTCTAGGAAAGATTATTGATTTATGTTATATTGGTCACTTTCTGTGGAAAATTTGCCTTATCATCGAATGTAACATATGGGGCGAAATTGAAACTCATACTTCCAAACAAATAGTTTAGTTTAAATCTTTCTCTTGAAGATGATCACTTGGTGATTGAAACACGTGTTGAGGTGTTAAAATAACGGTTTGATGATGGGATTAAACTCCAGTAATATACATTACTACACCAAACGTTCCAAACAGTGCATCACAAGTAAATGGTCATTTTGTTGAATTTACGGTCACCATAATCGTCCTACCGAGAGGACTGAAGGTCAACGATCATAGACAACGACGTGTGTTCACTAAATGGAGTCTGGAGCAAGTGACAAATGACCCTATTTTGCATCGAAAAATTATCTTTAAGACCCATTTCTATGAATGAGTACGTGAACAAACAAAATTTTCGAATTTGGGACGATAGCAATTATGAGATCCAAGAGCATCCAATGCATCTCGAAAAAGTCAGTGTTTGGTGTGGATTTTAGATTGGCGCCGTCATCGGTCCATATTTCTTCGAGAACGACGTTGGCGAGGCCATTACTGTCAACGGCTAGCACTGGTCTTTCCGCTCGACTGCGATTTAGTAAAGGTCATGCTCAGCCCTACTTCTGTATCTGTAGGCCCATTGTACATCCCCCCGATGAGTTGCCTCCTAGGTCATCGGCCATCCTGTCCTTTCCAGGAAGGTGGGCAGGTCACTAGGAGACACCTCCTTCATATCGAAAGGTGTCAGCCAAGACTCGCCGAACTCCGGACACTCGCATAAGACATGCCTGACAGTTTAATCTTTTTGTTCATACATCCTGCATGGAGGTGTGTCCATTAGCCCCATAATATGGAGGTGTTTCCTTAATTGACAGTAGCTAGTCAGAAATCCTATTGTTAAGCGTAGGTTTTTCCTGGTCATCGTCAGATATTTCTTCGGCGCCAGCTTCCCAAGGTCGCCCAGGGTGATCCTGGCAAGACTGCATCCTTTGATTCCATCCCATCTCCTTAGGGATTGAGTATGGGTGTGACGTTTGGCTGGTTCCGCAATTGTCGAAATCATCAGACCGTAGGTGTCACTGGGTCCTAAAATTCTTAGTCCGGCCGCTTTCTTGGCCAAAGAGTCGGCAATGCGATTACCTTTACTCCTGTCGTGTCCTTCAAC